ATTTCTAGAATCATATCCCATTGTGGACTTACTCATGACCATCAAGATATTAATAACATATTTAAAGACTTCTATCAAATATTGTACACTTCTGAAGAACAGATCAGTGTACATGAGAACAATGTTTTTAAAGATCTTTCTGCTCCCCATGTTAGGGTCATTCTGCTAGCTGCCCCCCACCCCTTGGGGGTCATGTCTCTATACTCTGTAAGAACACAGAATATTTCCTTTACTGTATATGTAACAGTCAGCATGCATACTCCATAGAAGAACCAACAATAAGGATTACATAAAGTGCAACAATGGAACAGTCACCTTACCTGTTTTCATTTATAAAACATAATTTTATGGAAGCCAAACTGCTGTAGCCCAAATTTTCTTCAGTACTGTTTGTCTTCTTGGGCGAGCTCTTCCTCCTGCTCTTCCTCTGCGCTCTCCCTCGGTTAATTCCACAGCGGTCCATTGTGTAGCAGTTTGGCACAGACATATCTTCAGTTTCCATTACATTCATCCGACTGCTCAAACTCAAGAACAATGAGGAAGCTCATTGGCTGAAACCACCTGACAGGTGTATCACAGTCTAAACTGATTTAGTGACTGCAACTAAAGTTTTGAAAATTTTAACATTTACACAACTAGGAAACACTGTGGAAACTTCTCTTTTATTTTCATAGCAAACTTGTAGGTGTCTACATGAAAAGGCTTACATATCCAGTCTTTTATTCTATGAAATTCAAGCAATCCATTGTGATCCATAATGATGGCTGTGGTTTATTATGTTTTGATAAACTTTTCATACAGACTCCACCTTAATACCTCCCAGGAATGTATCACCTTTCCTGTTCTCTAGCTCTAGCAAAACCCATGTTCTCTCACAGCTACAGGAAACTTGCTTTTGAAATCATTCATATCAAAAGTATTTTGCAATTATTTTATGTTTCCAGCTTTACATTTGGTGAATGGTACACTTTGAATTACAACTGGTAAGATTTTTTATGTACAGCATGTTGACTACGAGATTTAATACAATAATATTAAATTTTTTATTAGTAATTTTTTTGAAAAATGAGTTAGCACATACATAATAAGTAGTAATCTGATTATGTCATTATTTTATTAGCTTTGTTGGTGCTGTGCTTTTAAAACCACTTTTTTGAAGAGTGCTGTCTTTATGATGAATGATTTTCTTAAATTTCTTTTGTTCATCTGATGGTCAAAGCATTAATGAGATTGCAAAATTTGTTGTCTGCTCACATTTTAAATTAAGCCATTAGAACTATATATTTATTTATTCAAAAGTAAATAATTTAAATGCACAAACAGCAATGATGTCTATGAGATACTTTAGCCAAATGTGACTTTCAGATTCTGTCAGCTTTCCATCCTTGTCCTGAGCTGCAATGCATTATGTCACATGGTGCTGAGTGATAATGCACAGGCATCTGTGAAGTAATACAGTATCTTGAAGTGTGGAAAACCACGTGCTGGTACTGCTCTTTTTATTCAGTACCTGTTGTCGGTACTT